GTGTTGGGCGGTGCTCCTTGGACCACACGGCAAGAAGGAGAGCAAATCCCATTCTAAGTGGGATTGCTCTTGATTTGTTTCCTTGTTCATATTTAGTGATTTGTTTCCTTGTAGGAATAGAATTCCTTTTGTGTTTTGGTCTTTATCCTCTCCTATAAATAAAGGAGAAACTCCTTGTACTTAGCAGAACAATTCAATATACAGAATATTTTCCCTCTTATTAATTTCTTCACAGCGTCCTCGAATTTTGTTTATAAAGGCAATATGAAATGACAAAACGAAAGTAATGAATACCTAAGACCGAGTATAATTTAAAGATGGCAGGTTGTATTGTGGTCTCATACGGAGTAACAAATTTGTACGCAGCTATAATTCTCATTCTAAAAAATGACAATATTATTAGTTTTACAAAATTCAAATTTTTCTTCTTCTTCAAGTTTTTAGTTTTAGCAACCCACTCACTTTAGTTGATTAGTTGAACACAAAACAGAGTAATCGGATATTAAATGATAATCAATCAAAATAGGAAGAACGAAAACCCAATTTACTCTATTAGAATATGAATTTGTCTCCATTTTTATTTTTACTTGGGAACAAAAAATCAACAATAAATTATAAACTGAAGTACTAAACCAGGTTAAACAAAAAAAATTACATGTTGCCGTGTGGGGGAGGACTTCGCAGTCGGCTAGTCGCGGATTGGCGGTTGCAGTCTGGTTGGGGCTTGCCGCCGTGCGGCGTCCTGCGGTGGCGCTTTGGATTTCCGTCGATAGTCTGGGGCGGAGCTGTAGTAATGACCGGCTATGGCGTTGGTTTTAGGCGAAGTCGGAAACTCTGTTCTTTACTCCCTTTCTCCCCCAAAAATAATTAAATACGAAAGCAAAGAAAATATTGGGTGAAAATAATGAAGTAAAAAGATAAATGTAAAAAAATTATTCAATAGAATCTCAATTTTAATCGGTCTTTCGAACATAATTATATTTTTCATTACTGTGTATAATAGTTCCAACTTTATCAAAATTAATGAGTCGTCATCATGTTGCTAACGTCTGATTAACGGAACCTGTTTTGTGCAACAAAATGAAAATTGAGATTTTTTTTGAATTCTCTTTTTTTAATTTTTTAAAGAAAAACACTTAAATTTCTAAAATGACTTTCTACCTCTATCTTTTTTTTAAAATAAAGATTAGTCTTACCTTTGAAAAAAATAAAAATAGATGTAGAAAAATGAAATGAGAAAAACAACTAAACCATATCAAATTAAAGGAATACAAAAATAACAATGAAAGCTAACCTCACCTTGTTAGAAATAAAACAAAAAATAAACAAAGTGATAGGTTCTAATGTTTTAGGCGCTATACAAAGTATTAAGGTATTACATCCTCCGATCTTACTAGTAAAAAGATGAGAATGAAAAAAGAAAAGAAATAAAAATAACTCTTATCGAAACCCTATAGGAATAAAAAAATTCTTATTGAGAAATAATTAAAATGAAATTACGTTGAACTAAGAAAATAATTTTTTATTTTTATTGCCATTTTTTAGGGTTTTAGTAAGATCGAAAATAATTTTTTTAATTATTGATTTTTGTTTTTATTTTTATTTCTTACCAATACGAGGAAATCATACATCAATAATTCATTTGTATAGTGCCAAAAACAATTGAAACCTCCACTCCATATTTTTTAGTTATATTTCGTATCAGTTTGAGTTTAGTTTTCTTTAAGTATCTTTTTAATTCATTAATTTTGTATTGTTTAAGTTTTTTTCTCATTTTCGCCATTCTTTATATCTATTTTCATTTTTTGTTGAGGTAAGACAAATCTTTTTTTAAAAAAAAACTTGACGAAGGTAGAAAGTTATTTAAAAATTTTAAGGAAAAATTTCAAAAAAAATTTATAAAGAATAATCGCAACTTTCATTTTGTTGTGCAAAACAAGTGATTTTCGTTAACCATTTCTTAGTAGTTTAACAGCCACTGAAAGCTCAAAAAATCAGTAAACTTGAAAATATTAACCATTAGAGTGGAAATTTGGATTATTTTTAAAAGATTAGGTAAAGTTTAAATTATTCTCGATCAGTTTTTCTAAATAAAAATCATGTTTATAAGGCTTTCAGGTGTACTCTCCCCTCTTCCCATTTTCCTTTTCTTCTCACTCAACATCACCTCAGTTTAAGCTTTCGTGGCCTTCCTCTTCCCTTCGACTTCCATAGAAATGCTTTCCCTCCCTTCCTCTTTTCTCTTCAAATTTTTAATATTATATTTTAACACTTATTTTAATTAAAATCACTAAACCAAAAATATATAATATGATTAAATGATACAAACCTAGAAAAACTCAAAATAAAAATAAAAAAACATAAAAACTAAACAAATCGAAGTTAAAAATGAAAAACAGTTAAAAACTAAAAATAAAAAAAGGAAAAGACGGTTTCCCGTTCCCGATAAGGGGTGACAACTGATGGGTTTTTGCCCCAACGACTTTGACGTTCCAAGAACTAAAATCGGAATCTGAACAATATTGATGAAATATAGAACTTTCGTAGGCTTATATTAGCTAAATTCGATTCGGATTAGAATGGAAAATTTACCCCTTATTTATAGAGGGAGTACAATTCATGATATAATTTATTTCATAATACCCTGTACATCGAAATTACTTCTCGTTTTATAGAATTATTTATGTAGTTTTTAAGTTTAAAAGTTTTCAGTGATATTCTACCTCATTTTATTTAAAAAAATGGAATTAAAAATAACTAGAGAAAGAGACAATTTTATACATTAATTTTTTATCAAATGGTCAATAAATAAATATTCGCAAACAAAAAGTTAATAAAAAATACTCAAAAAAACAAAAGAGGACATTAATCAAGTTATTCTTAGAATTTCTTCCTCAGGTGTTTCTTCTTTCACCCTCAATGTGATCATGGTTTGGGAAGACCCAATTAGTTTGACTTCCATGAGTAACTTCATTGAAGAACAGATGGACCCCACATGTTTGGGTTCCAAAAATCGTTTTAAGGAAGACAAGAACAATATGCCAAGTAAAAACCAGACATGACACATAGGCTATGGTCCGACTATGACGGCAACGGCTCAGTGAATCTAATACTCCACCTCCAAAAATTATTTATAAAATCAAATTTTATTGGTTTTTTACTTATTTTTGTCGCTTAATTTTTAAAATCATATAATCATATCATCTCTAATATCATAGATCGTTTAATGTAATTTTCACTTCTTCTCACCCCTCCCCTCTCTCTTGCTTGCATCTTCTTCTTCTAAGGTGGTGAAGCTTCCAGATCTGTCCATCGCTCTTCGAACAAAATGTTTCCGATCACAAAATCGGCAAAGGAACGAAAGTTGTGGCAAAGAGGGGCAGCGGTGGTGAGTACATAAGAACCCGAGATCAAAACGAGAAGTTTCAATTTGGACAGATAGAGACTGATTTTTAGGAGTACACAAGTACGTTAGGGACGGATGAAGAGACTTATTATGAAAAATATAGAGACATGAAACATTAATTTTATGCACAAATTAAAGTAATACTTTATTAGTGTATAATGAAAATTAGAAGATGGACACTATCTAATAGCAATTCATTAGCTTTGATGTAGTATCATTAATTATGTGCATAGTTTTTATTTATTCTTCTTATGTTACTGTTATAAAACATAAAATAGAGAGTAATAACGTTAAAAAACAAAATTTAAGAAATAAATGAATGGTCTTCCCCACCACAACGGCCATAATAAGAACGTTCCTATAATACCCCTGCTGCACACCTGTCATTTCCCCGTTTTGCCCTTCCATCCAATGCACTGCTCTGTGGGCCTAGTCTTCTGCTTCCCTGCTCTCAACGGGCAAGGGCTCTGTACGGGCAGCACCATGCAATTATACTGCAAACACAGCGAGCTGCTGACCGGAATTTCCGCCGCCGGCGTTATCGAGATCCCGGTCAGATAGTTGTGCTGCAAGTAAAGAACCTGTATGCCCGCCGAGAGTAAACGGTCAACGATGCTCGTCGGGACGTCGCCGGTGAACTGATTGTTGTTCAGGTATAGATTCTGCACCGTCGCGAACAGGGGAGATATTTCGCCGTACAGGCGGTTGAAGCTGAGATCCACGGTCTGGATGGCAACCTGGTCGGTGGGTTGAACCGGGCCGGAAAGTCTGTTTCTTTGGAGCTGGAGATTTGTGATCGGGAATTTGAAGACGGTCACCGGGATGTTGCCGGTGAAACGGTTCGAGCTCAGGTCGAGATAGTTCAGCCTGTTAAGCCGGGTTATGATCTGATCGACCGGGCCGGTCAGCCGGTTCCACGACAGAGAGAGGTACTGGAGTGACTGAGGGAAAGCGTTGGGCGGAACCGGACCGGAGAGGTTGTTGTGCTTGAGGTCAACTCGGGCTAGGCTTTGAGAGACAAACGGAGGAACGGCGCCGGTGAGACGGTTGTGACTGAGAATGACATTGGACAACGCGGGCAAAGCTCCGATGACCGGAGAGATATTCCCCGTGAAGAAATTGTAGCTGAGATCGAGCGTCTGTAGTCTCCGGAGCTGTCCAAGCGACCCCGGAATCTCGCCGGAGAGAAGGTTCCGGCTGATCCCGAGAAACCGAAGGTTCTTCAACTGCGAGAGAGTTTCCGGCAAGGACCCCTTTATCTTCCCCGGAACCACAGTAAACTCAGCGAGACGAGAAAGCTTACCCACAGCCGGATCAATCTGCCCGGTCAATCCGGACGACCCGGCCCGCGGGTCGCCGAGATTCAAGGAGATCACATTGTCACCGTCGCAGAAAACTCCAGGGAAGTTGCAGGGGTCGGAAGTGAAATCCCAGGAATCGAAGAAGTTAGAACCGGGCAAGTCGCTCAAGCTCTTCCGCATGGCTTGGAGGGCCAAGAAGTCAACGGGGTCGAGAATCGCAAGCGCAGAGAAGCTCCACACCAGAAGACAGACGACGGCGAACAACCGAATCATTGTTGCTGGATCGGAGTTTCAAGAAACAGAGCAACGAATAGAGAATATGAAATCTGAAGTTCTGATGAAGAAATTGAAGATTTCTTTCTTTCTTTGTTATTTGGGTGGGATTTCTTCTTCTTGTTGAATTGGGTTGGGGAGAGAAATGGAGAAACAGATAGAGAGTTCGCCGGAGAGGAAAGGTGATGAGTGAGTGTTAAATGGTCACTAGCACTCTGCCTGTGGGTTTTTGATGGGTTCGAGGGATAAACGGTTGTCCGAGCCTACGTGGATATCCGAAGCTGGGGCGTGTAAGTGACAGATAAGCAGTGTCCAGCTTTGCGGACGACCATAGCCACGTAACCTATATTTATGGTATGGGTATTTTATGAGTTTCATTATTTGTAATAGTTCATTCTACGTATCCGGTATGTAATGTGGTCGATCTCCTTAAGAACCTGATTGAGATTATATAATGATTTATTCACTCACAATTCTATCGGGCTGGGGTATATAGGCTCGCAGGATGGACATTTCACCTTTATTGTATACTCCTTATTTTGTTTTACTTTTTACCCTCTCTCCCATATCTTTAATCAATTTTTTACCATCTGTATTTTAATTTATTTAAATTTTTACCCCGTATCTAATACTTCCTTAGTTCCTCTACAAAGAAAGTTCTTAGTTTTATTTGTCTAAAGTTAAAAAAAGTGAAAATATGTGATTGAAAGTGATGCAAAATAGAGAGAAATATATTGAATCATTAAAAGTTTTCGGAGTTCATTTTTAGGGACATCCTAAAGAAGAAAATAAGAATTTTTTTAGATGGAGGGAGTATGATATGTTAATCAATAATATTTTAATTTATATGTAGACATATATTATAAAAATATAATATTTTAGAATTAGGAATTTATTTTTGCTAAGTAAACATTAGATTTTTTATGGCATAATATTTAATGACTCTGACCACACATTCTTTTATACTATTAACTCTATTACTCTGTATTGGAGTTTCTTTTCTAATATACTTTCTCAAGCCAATAAAGAATATTTGATATTTTGTTAGTGAATACTTAATTAAGTTTTGATTAGTGACAGAATTATATTACTTTGCACGATCCGTAGAATATTTTTTAGAAATTCTACAACAGTTTGACATGGTTTGAAAATAATATTTTAATTTGCCTTATCATTTTAGATAATATTTTTGAATGATATATGTAAAATTTAAAAACGATATATTAAATGTTATAGTATTTTTAAAGCATTAAAGTCAAACCTTAAACCTATAGTGGTCAAACGAACACATCATAACCATTGGTAGAGAATATCTCTAAATATAACTAGGACCGGATATGGTTCCGGTTTATCGGCGTAGCGGTCCAGAATTGTAAGTAAATATTCAGCTTCTCAATTTTTGGCACTCGAACTGATACATGGTTAGTTTTTTTTAATGTTTTTTATATTTATTTTAATTTGTTTGGGGTTGATTCATAATACTCCCTCCGTCCCAATGTATTTGTCCAGTTTGACTTTTTCGAGTCAAACTGGACAAACTTTAAACTTCAATTAAATAAAAATCATAATGTATTTTAACATAAAAATGAATTTATTGGATTTATCGTATTGAGAACTTTTAAAATTGTATTTCATTATACTAATATGCAATATAAATTGAGAGTAATTGGAGATCAAAATTTGTCTAGAAAAAGTCAAACTGGACAAAAACACTGGGACGGAGGTAGTATTTACCACCAACAAAACTGTGGAATAAATTATACGGAGTATATATATAACTGTTTTACCAAACAATTTACAAAACGGTTGTGTTCGAAATCAAAACTGCTCCTACACGGCACCGGTTTTGATTCTAAAAATTGGGTACCGGTACTGCCAGTTTCGGAACCGGTGGTATCGTGTCTAGTCCTAAATACTTAGGGGCTGTTTGACAACTTCTGAATAGGTAAGTGCTGAACCAGTAAGAGATCTGAACCATTAAGTGCTGAACTAGTAAGAGGTCTGAACCATTAAGAGCTAGCATATTGCTTAACTATTCAGAGGCAAATGTTTGATCAATTCAGATAAGAGGTCTTAACCATTCAGACTCTGTATAATACTTGACCATTCAGAGGCAAATCTCTTAACTATTCAGACATCTGAACCATTAAGAGGCTAAAACAAACAGCCCCTTACTCCGTCCCATAAAGATGTTCTCATTTTGACTTTAAAGAAATTTAAGGGAAAGATTTTTGTATTGACTTTCCAAAAATATTTTTAAATGTGATTTGTAAAAGCAAGGTGTGATAGGTAGATTATTAGTAACAAGAGTTGATGTGATAGATATATCAAGAATTAGCATTGGTAAAAATAGCTTTTTATAGAAAAGAAAGAGATTTTGTAGAACAAAAAAAAGAAAAGAGAAGAATTTTTGGGATAGAGTTAGTATAACATTTTCATTTCACAAGTCCACTTTAACTTCTGCTCCACATTTTATTCAATAGTCAAAAGGTAAGAAATATAAAGTTTTTCTATGGTCCAACGACATCATGATAGTTCTTTCAAATTGGAAATTACATGTTCGAATCTCACTGAGATGGTAATTCTATGTGTTTTAATCGATTAAAAATTCATAAATAGATAATGCATAATACTACTTCAGTCCCTGAAAAAGTTTTTATTTTATTTTTTGTGCATCCATAAAAATTTTTACCCGATCTAGAATATTTAAAATACTCTCAAAGCAACTTCTAATCGTAATAAAGGAGAAATGAGATGAAACTCATAGAATATAGATATAGTCATATAGATAGAAGTGTGTTTAGTGTTGCACGAAAAATGAAACATGTTTTTTTATCGGCGGAGGCAGTATGATTAGGGGTCTGTTTGGGTGTTAGCGATAAGTGTTAGTGTTCTGAAAAGGCTATATACGGGCAGCGTTAGCGTTTTCAAAGTAATCTGCACCGTTAAAATTTTATCCAAAACGCTAACGCTAATCTCTAACGCTATTCCCAAACATGCCCTAGATATGCAAATACTCCCTCGTTCCAAAAATCATCTTCCCGTTGCGTATAAAAATTATTTTCATATTATTTTATATGAAAAATGATGTAAAATTTAAAAAAAAATTCATAACTAAAAACTACATCAAAAGATCTACAAAAATAGATGTGATGACATGACTATATTATTTTATCAAATCAGGCAACAAAAATAATCCAACAAACTAAATAAAATTTGACAATGTAAATAATAAACATGAAAATAGTTTTTGAACTATGTAATAGGTTTATTTATCTGAAGAAAAAAATTTGAACAGTTCTCTTTTGGTAAATGGCGTGATATTCATCGGTCAACTTGACTTTTGTTTATATACAGTGTTTTAAAAAAGGTAATAACCGTAACTGTTTCATGTCAATGTTTACTAATTACTATCAGGAAATCCTCCGCAGTAATTTTGAACGATAGACTCGTAAACAAATTAAGCCACAAAGTCAAACTGTTTGGGTCCGCTAATTATGGCTCAACATAACATTATTAAATGACTGCATGAGGATCGGTTGCACTAACCCTAACTACTTTGATTTAATTAGGTACAAATGTTAGAAGCCCGCACGCAAAGGGGTAATACCGTAATATATGAAACTCCATCGGTCCTAAAAGTATCTTTTCGTTTTACGAAGTTTGACTAACTTTATTTTCAATTCAATTTATTTGGGAGCGTGATTATCAAAATAACACGGGGTCGGGGCAGCTCCCCTAAAGATTTTTTATATATATGCAATTTAAAACAGTTAAAAAAATAAATTTAATTTCTCATAATTATTATAGTACATAAAAAAAGTCTAACAAAATATAATTTATGGGCTACATTATAATTACTTAGTTTAATAGTAATATAATTTTAATCTTTCATTTTAGACTTTATTTTTGACATTTTAAATATTTTACTCTATGATTATATTCTATTAATACTTAAACTTTTCACATTACTCATTTTTTCTTATTTAACACTTTTCATTGGGGTCCCTAAAATTTTAATTGGGGTCATGAGCTATATAAGTGTACAAAAATGTCGAGTATTCTACTCCCTCCGTCCCATAAAGTGTTACTCATTTTGACTAAAGTTGAAATTAAGGGAGAGATAATTTTGTGTTGACTTTCCAAAAATACCCTTGATGTGATGGGTAAAAGTATGATGTGATGTGTAGATTATTAGGAAAAAGGTATGATGTGATAGGTAGGGTTTGAAAAAGTAAGAGGTAAAAGTGGTTTTTTATTAGAAATTGGTAGAGATTGTGGGACACAATTTTTTTGAAACGTGTCCCACAATCTCTACCAATTTCTATTAAAAGCGGACAAATACTCAAGAACGGGAGGAGTATATATTTAAATTCTTCTCTTCCTGTTTAAACATGGGATGACTCTTTATAGCCGACCAAATATGTAAAATAGTAGTTTCAAATAATGGTCTCAAATAATTAAAAACTAAAAACTTAAATTTACAAATGGTAAGTTTATTTTTTTTTGAGGGTTTTGTTTCTGACTCCAGCATTACTCATGTTACTTTTTTTGTTTATCTCAAAATAGACTTTTCTCTTTCTTTTTTTACTATCTCAAAATAAATGTTGTATTCTTTTTAAAGTACTCTCTCTGTTCCAAATTAAATTATATATTTACTATTCATAAAATTAAATTTCATTCACTATCTTTTTTATTTTCATTATTAATTTGATAAAATAAATATTTAAAAATATTATTAGATATTTACATAGAAATAATTTTATTAGATTTATTATATCAAATATTTTCAAAATAGTATTTTATCTAATTAATATACAATATATATTTCATTTAATTATAAGTCAAAAGTTGAAAACGATTGTCCGGAAAAAAAGTCTAACTGAACAAATATTCAGAGACGAAGGTAGTACAATGTAAATCTAAACTTACTGATTAACTTTGTTACAATACACCGATACCGATCAATTAGACGTGGACCCAAGAGATATAAAACCTCAGCCCACGAGTGGAATAACGGGTCGTCCGAAGAGGAACGTTGGGCCACTGAGGAGATATAAAGATTATGTTTAGCATTATTATTACTATTATTACTCTTTAATTTTTGAAACTAGATTTTATTACTCTTTTTTTTAAAGAAGAGAGAACCATTGTAAGCCACTCAATCATTTTCTTTAGGCTATGTTGTTTTAGTTTTGAAAAGTTAACTTTCAACTCTTTCCAACTCTTTCTAGTTTTTCCCAGTGCTTAAAGAATGTATTTAGATATGACAAATATATAATAACATTATATATCTAAATTTATAACATACCATCTCAAACACAAACAACAATAAATTATTTTTTATCCAAAATTAAAGTTTTTATATATATTTATTTGGGTGATCATTTAATTGAGTAACTTTTTAACGTTTAAATTCTTCTAATATCTTCTAATAATTTCCACTTTGTAGAGGTAAGATCCGAGTACACACTCCCAGAACCTATATTTGGTGAGATTATATTGGGTTGTTTTGTACTATGAAAAAGAAGGGAGAGCAAGTAATGCATGCTAGGTGCATTTATGTAAGATTTTTAGTTGTGAGGTCTCTTTCAATTATATATATATTCATTCAACTGCTTTACCCTTCCAAGCAAGGAGGATTGGGGTGGCCTGCCTGCAACTCTCCCCACTCCCATCTACTCTTTGTTCAGTAAGCATAACAAATACAAACATGCCCTTGGTGGGGGAGGGGGGTATGAAATAAGGATGTTTGATAACAACCCATATGGAATCTCTATCACACCATATATATATATATATATATATATATATATATATATATATATATATATATATATATATATATATATAGTAGTCATGACAGAAGCCTATTTGATAAAATAATATTGTCATGACACATCTAGTTTTGTAGATCTTTTAATATTCTCTTTAAATATGTAATTTTTATTTTGTAATTCCACAGTAACACAAATATCTTTCATATAAAATGATTTGAAAATAACTTCAATCAAATATCGTAACGCGCAATGAGAAGATTATTGTTGGAGGGAGGGAGAGCAGTTTATAAAATATATTCAGAGTAATTGATTAGTGGCATCCATTCACAATAACATAGAGAAACAGAGTGTGAAGAGTATAATGCCAGCAGAAGGCCTTATTCAAGCTCACAATTTCTTCAAACTTGCCCCCTAGATGAGTTCTTTGTTTGCATCCAAAAAAAAGAAAAGAAAAGAAAAGAAAAGAAAAAAGAACACTCCAAACAAAGCCTAGCTTGGATCAATGCAAATATCTTCAGAACATAGGAATGGTCCCACCAGCAGCCAAGATTTGCTTCTCCAGCTGTGTATTTTAGTATTTATTTAGCACACAAAATCACCACCAAAAATGAAAAGCAAAATGGGAAATATGATATGTGTATTTATATGTTATGAGAAGAGCTTTTGAGAGTGAATCAGCTGTCCAAAAGCTTGGGTTTTCTTGATTTCAATTGCATCTTTCCAGAGGTCAATTAAATGTATAATTATTTTGGGAAGTTTATTTTCCGACTGATGTAAAAAAGAAAAAAAGAGGATTTTTTTGGGGATCGAGGGAGCATATACTAACATAACACCCTTCTCGCGTGCAAGTGAGGCCTGTTTGTTTGAGCCTTGAATGTGGATGATAATAATTTACACTATGTTTGGTTCAAGGAATTTAAAAGGGAAAAGAAAAGAAATTGAAGTGGGAAACAGTTTTTCAAGTTTGGTTCGAGAGGAAAAGTGCTAAGAAAAAGAAAATGAGAAGACAAATGTACTAAGTGGAAGGAAAACAAAATTCTTCCCATTTTGGTGAGGAAAATGAGAGAAAATCATTTTCTTTTCTTTTCCTTCCAAAATCCTTCAACCAAACATAGTGTTAAAGTGGGTGGCTGTGATAATCGAACTCCTGAACATTGGGTCAACAAAGCTGTGACACCATATCAAGGAACCAGCTCAGACAACAGCTCCGGCCTATGGTTGAAGGCTCAGGAAAGTTGTTATCCTCTAAGATGTTGCAATGACTTAATACTGGATAAAAATAACTTACATTCACAAGGATTTGGAGTTGGCTCTTCACAAGAGCGTATTCATTTTTTATAACTTGCAGACATTGCAAACTCCTACACCAGAAATTAACAATGTTACCAATGCCATTATTAATGCATCTTTAGAGTGTGGCACAACAGGGGGTGTAACCGAATCTTACCCATCAAGGTTCTCCGCATCACACATCGTTTTCATACATAAACATGCATTCTTTACTCTTTGTGCACCTATGCTGCACACCATACATGAAACATATTGTATCTTTTAAGGGAGCCTATCAGCTAGCAGAAATGACCATGGCCAGGACATAATATACAACCAATATAATGAACTAAAGAATGGGAGGCCAAGACCCACTTTTTGGCTAGTGTTGTAATACCCGCTAAAAACATTGATACAGACTGTATATATAGCACTTGCATTCGCATATTTCAATATTCGGATTTTGTTGTCCACTATCTTGTTTTTCGTTTGTCCGGAATTAGCTGTCCACTTTCTAAGTTCAATAAATTATAAAATTTACGATGTATTGCATAACATATATAAACTAGATGTTTGTTATGAACATTGCTGACATGGATGGGTGAAAAATTCATCTGAAGGCCGGACTTATTTGCCATTTTAAACTCTTTTCATAAAAAAGTTATATTTTTTAGATATTAGAAACTGGATAACTAAATCCGGATGGAGGAACTATTTATCAAGATAGAGACTAGGCCCGCCTTCATAGAATTCCCCTCCAAAACCCCTTGATCCAAACCTGATGTATTAAACAATCATTTTATAGTTCCTCCAAGTTTGTTCCGGCCACCTTCTCATAGACACCCACTTACACCGTTTCACACACAAGGCCTTGTCTATGAAATCTAGTACTTGAGAGTCTCTGAGAAGCTAAGGTCAGGGAAAACTTGGAGTCAAATTTTCATTTTCATGAGCTATAAGATGCTTGATAGCAGTATGATGTTTCACATGTTCCAATAATTACATCTTCAATTCATTGATACATTCCTAAAACAAATTGGTTACATAATGTTAAATTACTGCATAAATGATTGAGAATCCATTTTTAAATCCCTCACAACTAACATCTGGCAGGTACAAAACAATCACACAATGGTTAACAATATATGCTTGGTGCTTGTAAAATACTTGGACTTGGTTTTATTTATTGCACAATCAATTTCTGTTCTTTTATTCATGCTCAAATCGACTTAACTGAATTGAAAAGTTCTGAGCTAATAATGTAGATTTGTAGTTTTAATTGCTAACTGAAAAGTGTTGAACTGAAAATAAGTCGAAAAGAAGAGGCTCGCTATCATAGCACAAACAATCCCACTTCATTTCTTTACTTCTACTTTCAATTCCATATTGTTTTCCAAGTCGGGTCGGAAGGAAACAGTCTATCTACTCGTGAGTTGGGATAAATTTTACTGAGTTTGTTGTTGTACTCCGAGCGATTTCCAAGTTAAGAACGGAGTAAGTGTATTGTAATCCCTAGTCATTACTCATCAGAAGAACTGGCATATGAATCAACATTGAAAAAGCAGATACTACAGTAAGGAAGGAAACCTGGAAGTGCTGCCCTTGAACTGGTGAGCAATGGCATCAGCCTCCTTAAAATTTACCACTTGCTGTTGCCTATACATTTGAAGAATTTAAAACAAAAAACTTGAAAAAGATTCCATTTTTAGTCGGACAAATCGAAAAAAGATGCAAAATATAGAAGAATCTCACAGAGCAGCGGCCAAAAGGTTGATGATCCTCTCAGAATCCTCGAAGAACAGAGAAACAACCTCAATCACAAAATCTGGGTTGCTCTCATCTTGCAGGCTATGAAGCTGGGCAAATTGACCATCCAAGATCCCCTTTTTTTCAACCCCCATAAGCAAAAAAAGGAAAGAAAATAAATAAAAAAAACCCTTTCTCAAAATCCGACCAAGAAATTAAATTGAAAAAAAAACATATAATCAAGAAATGGGGGGAAAAAATGGATGGAATTTCCACTGACTGACCTCGCGACCCAGATAAGCCACGAACTCAAGAAACTGTTTCTGCATCTGAGCGACATCCATGGCGGATTGCTTCGTATGAGGTCTGCAATTTCCGCGTTTTTAGTTGGGTGTTTTTTTCTTTTTTTTTTTTTGCAGATGTCTGTGATGTGTTCTGTACCACCACTACTGTCTTTGCCTGCTGATTGATTGATTTGGATTTTGGAGCTAATAATAATAATGATTAGACAAAGACGACAATTAGGGCTATCCTTAATCCGGATTGACTTCTACCCAGTACCATTTGTTTTGCCTTATTCGGTAATTATTCACTAATTATTCTGCATGCAGTACAGTAATACTGCCGTAATTGCTGGTGAAGAGACCTGGAAGAAGATGAAGAAAAAAACATATTCCATAGCTAATTTGGTAAAGATTCTATTTTTTAAAATTATTTTATTTACAAATCGTCATATCATAAAAAATAAAAACGACACAATAAAAAATTACATCAAAAAATCTAAAAAAAATCATCCTAAATAAGACTAAAATATAGAGAAAATACGAAAATAGGAGTTTCATGTTTTTATTTTCTGTATATGAGTTCGCACTGTAGTAATATGACACTGTACATCTGCACTTTACGTAATGTGCATGATCATGATTGATAATGTAAATGCATTTTAACTCATACTTTGGAAATAAAAATATAGAACTCCTATTTTGATATATTTTTAATATTTTACTTCTATTTTAGTCTTTTTTCCAAAAATCTATGAAATAAGAGGTGATAGGAATATATATTATTCCGTATTTTGTTTAATAATCAATGAAAACACAAAAATAAAAAAAAGTTATCGAGAGACCAGACAAAAAAAGAAGATTGTAATCAAAATTAAAACAGATATAGTAATTTCTTGTGAATTAACAAATGAGAATAATACTCCCTCCGTCCCAGAAAGAATGCCACAATTACTATTCTGGCATCTCGATAACTTTTGTTTGTTTACTCGTTTTGGTTGACCATTTGATAAAATAAAATATTTTTGTCGCATCTTATTTTGTAGAACTTTTCATATACTTTTGAATGGTGTAATTTTTACTTTTTATTACTCTACCAATTTGAAATTAAAGTAATTTTAAAAGAGATGATATTTTGCACGTCGTTCGAAGTGTTGCAAATAAATTGGGACGGAGGGAGTAAGTAAATACTTATGGGCTATCCTTTTGGATCGAACTAAACTATTTGTCACATTACGTAAAACGAAGTAAAATTTTAGATTTTTTAAATTCGCTTTAGAGAAAAAGATTAACTTGTTTATACATGATCAAATTATTAAGGCTTTAATTTTTTTAATTCTAATTTATGAAATTATGTATTTTACCTCGATTTATGGTTTGTTTTATATAAAAACCATTACAATATAACAATGCATCTTTTTAGTAAGGATCCAATATAAAATTAACATACCAAACTTTTAAAATTCTGCAAAAGTAATGCTCAAAAACATTGAAAGTGATTTAACATTGATAATAAGATATCCTCTACATAAATTCGAGCAATACAAATCTTTCAAAAAAACTAAAATAAAAAACCGGCAATGCGAATATTTTTATAAAATTCGAGATATAAACCCTTCAAAAAATATACTCGTATATTTTAAATCTTTTAGACCAAATCTTCAATATATTTGAATATCTAAAAAAGGACGAATGCAGATTTCTCGAGAGAATTTTTTGGGTGATAAATTCGAATTTTGTTGAAATTTCTGTTCTATTTTTTGATCAAAAATTTGAATGAAATTTAGTTTTTTTAACACTACTAACTCCATTATAATATAATATCTGTTTATACAGTATCCGCCTATTAAAACTTGTAGTCGTAGAGTTACTGACCGCAGTAGAGATCGAACACGTGACCTCTTATTTGGGAGAGTCATAGTGGTGACATTGGAGTACAAGGTCCTTGACTTAAGTTAAATTAAGTTAAACAAACATACGACTAATAAATTTAAAAAATAGAGTATACAAGAATAAATGATATTATACCGTCAAATTTGCAAAAGGAATATAGTTTGGCATTAATAAATTGATATTCCCCTATTGGAATATTCCTTCCGTCTCAAATTAAATTACCTAATTACTATTTATAGGGTCAAATGTCATTCAATTTCGTTTTATATTTTCGTTAGTCATTTGATAAAATAATATAATCATGCTACTCCTAGTCTTGTAAATCTTTTGATGTAGTATATAATTTTTACGGAGTATTTGTTTAATTTTATATCGTTATTCACGTAAAATAATTTAAAAAATAACTCTAGCTAAACCTTATAACTGAGGAAAGATTAGGATGATTGGGATTCCACTTACATTACCCTCTGTCTTTTCCTTTGATTATTATGCTTTTGAGCCAGAGAAAATCTTACCCTATATTTTTAGGTCTCCTCCTTTGTTCTTATCCAATTCTCCAAAGGCCTTTTTGGTTACTTGGTAATCTTTGGCTTCTATATCTTATGGTAAACCAAACCCCACGTTTATGATATGAATCAGTTGATAATTCCATTTTTTTTTTCAAATCCTATTTCCCAAAAATTATTTTCTTCTAAATTCTTTTCTTTTCCTGCATAAACTCCCTGTTTTTTTTCTCAATAATTTTTCTGAATTTGCACTATGAGAGAAGTCTTGGAGTTAAACCCTCCCTTATTCTGAGTGAACTCTTTGGACTTATACTGTATACAATCCCTCTTTTTTATGGTACCTTTTTTATTTCTGGGGATTCTTTTGGCACTCACCACTAAGAAATTATGCCATTTTTTATGAAAACTTTAATCCAGAGACAGGAAAAAGAAAGTTAAAAACAAAACCAATCCCATCCCCTTCCTTTTCAAAATATGCTTTTACATATATTTTGCATGCATAATAATTACATATTTACCAAACTAGTAAATATTTCAAACTTCATCATGGTTGGCATTTACATATATACAGTGTATATCATATGGTTCCATCTAATCTTCTTCTTCTTCTTCTTCTTCTTCTTCTTCTTCTTCTTCTTCTTGGGTCACTTAAAGATTCATCTGTTGGGGGCTTCCATGGCAATCTGTTCCTGCAGACTGAGACAGCTTAAGTTGCTCTTCTTTTGATACCCTTCAGCAATGAAGAGTTGTTCATAGTATCCCTTCCACTGTGATGGCTTTCTACACCTCATTATCAATTCCAGGCTCTCCGAGTTCCCTCTCAGAAGCTGCAGAACCTGCAATGCCAAACACCCCTTTCTTGGTGTTACTTCTTGGTAGATGTCCAAAAACATTCTTTTTTTTTCTCTCATACAAAAATAGGAAAAGAAAGATTGATGATTGTGCCCATGAATTGCACTTGCCTGACCGATCCGAGGACGCCTTAATGGAGACTGTTGAACACACAAATAAGCAGCCAGCACCATGAGGTTCATCTGCAAAGGGCTGTAGTTATTGCCGAGTGAGGTATCGGCAAGCTCTCTAATTCTGTTTTTCTTTAGCAGAGGTTTTGCCTGGAATACCCCAAAGAAAACTCGGATAACGTTAGTGTTTTAGATGAATTTTTGAGGGCATTACATAAACTTTGAAAATGCTTAATTGCGCTAAAAGTAATGAACTGTTGAGGTATAGTTTACCCAGATTACAAGGCTTTGTTGAGAGTAATCAAGGGCGCGGCGCCCTGTGATGAGCTCCAAAAGAAGCACGCCGAAGGCAAAAACGTCTGTTTTTTCATCCACTATACCGTGCATTAGAAACTCGGGCGCAAGATATCTGAAATCACAATTTTTTTTTACTTTTAAATGTCAAAAGGAAGAGTAGGAAATATGGCACTATATGGTTTGCTGTTACTACCCAAATGTCCCTTCGAATTCCATCACATTGAGGTGAGTCCACTGTTCCGGCAGCCACTTTGCAAGTCCAAAATCACAAATCTGAAAACAAGAAACACTCTCTTAGGCGTCCTTTGGAAACATCTTTTTCAATTAGCATTTTGGATAATATCTTAATGGATCGTGCAGGTTAGCTTTAAAAACTAAAGTTATAACACTGTCGTGATATAACCTTTTCAAAACGCTGAAGTTGTTGCCAAACGAGCACAATATCATTCTCAATAATATATGATAACATATATGACTAAGAAAAAGGGGGAGAACCGGAAAATACCTGAGGCTCAAAGTCCTTTGTAAGCAATATATTTGCAGCTTTAATATCTCTATGGATTATTCTCTTCCGACAACCTTCGTGAAGATACTGTATCCCTTTAGCTGTGCCTAGGGCAACCTTGTACCGGATGCTCCATTCGAGCTTTTTCTTTGCAACTGCAGGCCAAAAAAGAAAACATGCATCATTGTACAATCGTGTCACCTATGAAACTCTTGATATAAATGTTGAATGTTCAAGTATCCCATATTGGAAAATTAGAGAAGTAGTGATGAGTTAATAAGGTTTTAAGTTGAACTAGATGATGATCTGTTAACATACCGTGAATCATAGATGCTAGGCTTCCATGAGGTGATAACTCAAGCACAAGAAAATATCCACCTTCAACCCCATAGCCAATCAATTTAGCAGTATTGGGATGGTTGACATGAGCCATTATCCCAAGCTCAGACAAGAAATCTCCTATTCTCTCCTCTGGCTGTCCTCTTGTCAAAACTTTAACTGCAACAAACTGTCCATTACGTAAATGCCCTCTATACACGTCAGCATAACCGCCTTTTCCTATTAAGTTTCCTGCACATTATATGCACATATGAGTATCAAAGGTGAAATGTCTATCCTGGGGGGGGGGGGTGTGTTTGGCTAAATGTTTGGAAGTGCTTTGGCATTTTAGTAGAAGTTTCGGTTTTTAAGCTCTCGGTGGAGTGCTTACAAGAAGAAACCCGAAACACTCCCAAAATGTGAAAATCAAGAAGCTACGAAGTGTCTATTCTTGATTTGAGCATTTTGTGTTTTAGTACCATTTATGGATCTAAGCGCGTTTCAAAAACATCCTGATACGGAACCATTTCAAGTCTCAAGCTTTAGGTCAGTAAAAGTTTTATACTACTCCAAAATTCATTTCCGCTCGAGATTTGAGGAACAATCTCAACCAAAATTTAGAGTTTTGGTTATAGGCTCAGGAAAGGTTTTTAACATTAACATGAACAGCTCACTATAGGACAATTTAAGGGAACTAGAACTAGCCTTGGCGAAAGTAGCTGGTGGCGATTTGAAGATCAGAGAGGCTAAAGTTCCTCCAATGAGGCTTGAAACAGTTGAAATCACAATCAACTGCAGAGTTCTGCAGAATGTTAAAAGCGCTACCGGTTGTCTCCCTCATGCTGCTGCTGCTGCTGAGTTTCTTTGAGAATTTGAAAGAAGTGAGGGAATCCAATCTACCTAAATGCCTCTTAGACTTATTAATTCCACTAAACAGCTTAACAAAACCAGCCCATTTTGAACTTCCCGTTGCATCTTTACCAGCTTCGGATTCCGGGTTGCTGTTCTTGGATGAATTTGTTTCGGATTCTAACCCGTTTAGGTAGTCCTCAAGAACCGTGTCCGGCGAGTGCACATTCCCACTCCTCTTTTCCATCTCAAAGGAATTAGAACTTCTCAGTCTCATCCTACCAGAAAGCAACATGTCAGTTATAACTCAGCACCAAGAGATTACTCCAAAGAAATCTCAAACTCCAGTTCTTAAGCTTCATTTCTGATTTTTATCAGATTTGAGTCTAACATCTAACAGTGAACCTCACCTTTTTTTTAGGGTATTTTAGGTCTGAGCTACACCTGATTCAACAATTTCTCATAGAACATCAAAAACACCTACATTCAATCAATGTGAAATCACTTAACATTTCATACAAATAACTTCAAAGAACACAAATTCACCAGAAAAGATTGTAAATTTAGGCAAGCAAGAAGATTCTGAAACATACCCAGATGTTCATTCATTGTCTATGGCACCAGACGATTCCTTCTTTCTTTCTTTTTTTCCCAAGCAAGAAGATGACACAGAACCAGAACTCCGGAAGTGAAGCTAGAAGTGGGAGATTTGAAGCACAGTAAAATATAAAAAAAAAGAAAGAAAAGAAGAACCTTTCTGCTAAAAGACTGCAAAGAAAATTGTGCCCTTTTTATGGGCATCTGAAAAATTTAGAAGTTTGAATAATACTCTTTCGAAGGAGGGGCTATGGATGTGGTCTTCCTTAACACGGAAGACTCCAAACTTACCCACGTACCAAACAAAAAAGAGCAGAAGAAATTTATGCATTATAATTTGTGAGTGAGTGAATTGATTAATTAAAAAATGGGATTTAGCGCCAAAGATTTTTTTTCCGAGTGGGGTTTTCCGGTCATCGACGCCTCTGGATAGCCACGTGTCAACTGGCGTAGGTTACCGTTTGGCAGCAGCCTTTTGTTGTCTTCGCCGGTCGTTTTCTTCCGGCCATGTGCTCCGCTTAGACTATCCTCTGCCATTTTCACGTGTCAAATGTTTGACAAAAATCTTACGGATAAATTTTTTTATTCACTCCAGAGTCAGGAAACGAGAAGTAAACCATCTTTTTTAAAAAAAATTGTCAAAATTGGATACTTTTGTACTACAAGTTAAATATAATTTAAATAAATCTGTTTTATAAAAATTGTATTCTAAGATGAACTCAAATATAATGAATGTACATTATAATTAAATATTTTTTTTATAATTTTGAACAAAAGAGTATCGGAACAAAAAAGTCAAAACTTAAAAGATTTTTCTGCGATGGTAAAACAATAAAATTTTCTCAGTTGAACAATAAAATTTATTCTTTGCATTCACAAAAGTTAAGGGTTCAAAAATGAGTTAAATTTTATTAAACTGGAGGGAAATTAGTCTTTCATTTTTACTTTATATTTTCTTAACATTTTTTCGTCCAAGTTTTATATTCTTCTCTAACAATCAACCATTTCTTTCGTTTTCTTAAAACCATTTTTCCCTCTTCCAAATTCAAGAAACCAATATGTGAATTGAATTTAAATTAAAAATAGAAATAGTATAGACAACATATTCATTTCTTAAAAAAACGAAAGAAATGCAAAATCTATTTTAAAATGGATAAAAAGGAAAAGTATAAATTTCTTTTGAGGACAAACCCATTGTTCTCTAACCAAAAAAAAAAAAAAAAATTATGTCACGCCTTCAATAATTATCTATGGCTAACGGTAGTTTCTTCTTTATTCTTTTTCTCCTTTTATTTATTAGGGAGTATGATAAAAATAAGTAATCAATCATTTTTAATCATCTACTATACCAAACGCCTCAAAACTAATAACTAACACACACAAAAGTAGTTCCTTTTTTTGCACATTAACTTTTTTTTTATTTTTATTTTTATGATGGGGCCTTTCTTTTAATTTTCTTTTATTTCTTTCTTTTTCTAGCTTCATCATTAATTATGGATTTCATTAGCCACCCAATTAAATTAGAGTGAACCTTAAATTTGACATCAATTCATGAAAGTTGTTGTGAATTTGTTAACACATATTCTATGTTTGCAGATAATTGCATCATTTGCGACCAAACTTACAAACTATTGTTATTCAATTTGTAAAATTTAAGGCTATTGTAACTTGACGTACAAAGTATTAAATTACCATCTTGAATAATGTCAAGCATTTGGAGAGTTCAAATTTTCTCCTCTTTCTACTCGCGTTGACTTTCAATTATAATATCAACCATTCCATATTTTGTAAACTAACAATTTAGTTTGTAGGCATTTGTAAAATAAAGTACCAACTTACTTAAAGAACATATAAAGGACTCTATAAACAACTTTTAGTGCTGATTTGGAGCTTTATCTTTTGCATAAGAGAGGAAGGAGTGGTCATCATGGGTTGCATTATGTGGTTGATTGGAGTATAAGTTGGGTTTAGCTTTTGTTTGATTTGATAATACAAAAAATTGCGTGTAAATGTCTAATGCAACTAACTAACCCCATCATTTACATGCACCTATTCATTCTTGTTCTTCTTTAGCCCTTTGACAAGTGAAATTTGCACTAAATAATACAAAAATATATATATCATTTTTCAATTTCGTACTTACACTTTTTTATTCCTTAAATAATACTTGAAAAATTTTTATTGGCGAGAATAATGTCCAGTGATGGTGAACGTTTAGTTTGAACAATGCCCAGCGAACAATAACTAATGATACTACATTTGGAAATAAAAACATATGACATTATATTGGAAAAGTCACTGTATTTTAATACACTATTTAGTTAAATTTTCCCTTTGACAATTAGTCCCTCCATCCCACTTCATTTGTTTAGTTTTTTTTGGGAGAATAAAATGGAATAAATTTTAAATTTTAATTAAACAAAAATTATAATATATATTAAAATAAAAATAAATTTATTAGATTAATCTTTTTAAAAAAATTTAAAATTTTATTTCATTGTAATTTTATGCTATAGAGATTAAAATTAATTAAAACTCAAAATTTATCCAATTTAATTCAAAAAAATCAAATTAAACAAATACACAAAAAAAGTATTCCGTAGTATACATTTGAGAATTGAACGTGTTGATGCTAAGGTTGAGAAAATAATTCTTTCTCAAGTGGAGTTCGTTGTTAACTCCAAAAACTCTAAAAAGTAAAGAGAAAAAAAAAAGATATTTTCTCCGTTTACCAAAATAATTTTTTCTTTTGACTTTTGAAAAATTTTACTCCCTCCGTCCGAAATGTTCTTCCCATTGGACTTTTTGCGGTCCCCAAGATTGTACTTTGACCACTAATATCTTTATTTATACATAGATATATTTTATAAAAATTTGATATTTGAAAACTATATTTCAAAATGAATATATATTCATATTAAACTTATATCGTACTCCCTCCGTCCTAAAATTTTCTTCCCAAAGCACTATTCCAACTTCACGGGAATTTATATTTATTTGTGTTTTTTCATGGCCTATATGATAAAATAAAATATTCTTGTCACCACTTGTTTTGTTGAACTTTTGATGTAGTTTTTAAATATGTATGTTTTATTTTTTATTTTTATACCAATATTTAAATAAAATAGATTGAAAAAACTTGGAATTTTTCTTCGTTTTGCGCAACGGGAAGAAAGTTTTAGGATGGAGGGAGTAATACAATGTATTTTTTCCATATATCACAGTCAAAGTTTACAAACTTTGACCAAGAAAAGTCAAATGGAAAGAATATTTCCGAACGGAGGGAGTATTTAGACTGCTTCTGCCCATAGATTCTCTTTAGACTAGATTTTGGGCACAGAATTTTAGAAGCAGTGCATAGAATTGTTTTATTCTGTTTAGAATCTATTCATTATTTAATGCAAACAATGAGTAGATTTTGTTTAAGACTTTTGCAAATTTACCAACGGAATCCCGGAGGAGACTCGGGTCATCCTTTGACATGAAGCTCAATGTCCCAAGAACCGGCTGGATGTTGAAATAGTGTTTCATGTGCCTAATTCACAAGCAAAAAGTTTTCCCTTATATTGCTCATATGTGTAGAGATAGATAGCAATCAAAATGAGCTGAATATTGACAAGACAGGCAAATAAATTGAAAGACTACCACCACTAGTGTATCATCATCATATGTATATAATCTCAAGTCTTATCTCAGCAGTTCAAATTTACAAAGCCTCTACTGAAAGGCTACATTGCTCCTCCTTCCCACACTAGACCACAACCTTCTAACTCTATTCTGTTTATGTTTTCCCCATCAAAAACATTGTACTTTTTAAGCTGTGAGCTACAAACAAGCCAAAAAACACAACACATGAGCAGAACAATGTCAAGAATTGTTTCTTACCTGTCTGTTGCCCACTGACATGTTGCTACAATGGAGAAGGATACAGAACTTCGATGCGTTCCTTGATCGGGGTTCTGCAAGACGGGCAGTCAGCCATTCCCTTCTTCTCATGGAGAACATTGCACTGCGCGCATAGAACCTGATGCGCACACGGCAAGAAGACCACCATGACTTCCTCAGCCAAACACATGACGCACTCTCTCTCTGGCTTCACATTTCCCTCGGCCAGCCTCTGGTTGGTCGCCTGATTCTGCAGGCCCAACTTGCCAACCCCTCTCCGGAGCTCCTCAAGTTTTGATGCCTCGGACTCTAACCTCAGCCAGGAGATCTCGCTTCCAATCTTGTCGATCTCACTCTTGCGCTTCTGCATGTTTTTACCAGCCATATCTCTAATCCTGTCCTCCTCTGCTTTTGCTAGAGCTCCCAGTTGCTCTGTTTCACCTCGTAGTGAACCAACCTGCATCAGGAGTCCTTCTTTCTCCTTCCTTTTCTCTTCATAGAGATCCTGAACATAGCATTTTCATCAGAGAATGCCAGCATAAAGAAAAATATAAATTTATCTTACAGAAGAAACGAGAATGGGATAGAGGAGCCATTGAGAACACCGAATAATTATAGAGATCCAACTAGTACATTTAGTTTATCATATTAAGAGGGAAAATTACCATTTGGGCAAATTACAGTCAATCAAATTTCATAGAAGCTCGGGACACATCTTTTTTTTCTTTTATCAGGGGGTGGGTGGGCTGAGAGACTAAAATGTCAGCCTTTTAGGTAACAAGGGATTGAACTGCACCAATTTGACAATAGAAGACTACAATACAGAACCTGAAACTATTGAGGGATCAAACTAGGGATTTAAAAAATGTAAACAACATAGGTCTACAAGCACCTTCAATTAAGGAGAAGTTTATAACGAAGGAAAATGACATTGAGGTGAAGCAGTGGTTATATTTCAAGCTCAAACAAAATCAGGAAACTACAATAGTTCATACCTCAATCTGGTTCAAACGTTTCCTACCCTTCTCAACTTGAAGTTGAATATCAGCACATTCACATTTCAGAGCAGTGAGCTCTTCCTGGAATAAGCTCTTTTCCACCTCCCATGATTGACACTTCTTCAGTCCCTCCTGCTCTCTTGCCATAGCTTCCTGCAACTTTCTAGAAGATTCCATAGAAAGAAATGTTGCCGCCTCCATCTTCTTAATCAGTACAGCATGCTCCGCCTCGAGCCTTTGAAGATAAGAGGTAGCTGTTTCCATCTGCCCACCCGCGTTAGACAAAGCATGCTCCATTTCAGAAAGCCTCTTCACAGTGTTCTCCTCCAGGGTATGTTTGTCCCTTTGAAACTTTTCAGCCTCATCCCTTTCTTCCCTCAACATTCTCAGCTCAGCTTGATCCTTGGCCAGCCTTCGGGTAGCCTGCATGACCTTCTCATTGGCCCAATCTGTCCAACCTTGGATCTCTTTCTCCAGCTTCTGCAGGTGTGGGACAAGCATCAACACAGCTTCGTCTTTCTCATCGCGAGGAATGTATTTCCCTAGGGAATCGTCATAGGGTATGTCTGCATAGTAAGTGGACACGGGAGGAAGTGCAACAACGGGGTCTTGTACAGAAGTGTCATTTCCAGATATGGGCAAAGCCGAATTACTCGCAGGAGTTGATTTAGTAGTAATGGTTGTCTTAGAGTAAGTGCCTTTTGAAGATGTAGTCGACGAAGAACCGGTTTGAGCATTGAGTGTCTTATCCAGAACCATACTGCCCCAGGAAGTGATTTTGGCTTTAAATGATCCCTTTCCCAAACGGCCCTTGTAAGTCTTCTCGAAGGGAAACGGCTTTTGCCTTAAGAGATCTTTCTTGGAATGAAGAGAGCATCCCTTCCGACTCACCCCAGATTTTTCTTCAGACACGACAGCTTGTGTTACAGCTTGAATGTACTCTCTGGCAGCCCCTAAGGATTTACTTTCCATCTCCAAAAGAGAAAATGACCCTCCTTCTTTACTACTAATTGTAGCATCACGAAACTGGGAGTATTTTAGTAGTTGAGGGACAGTGGGAAACGGAACAGACTTGTTAGAAAGATTTGATTTTTCTTGATTGGAACTGGCTTTAGAAGCTTCTGGATTTACTACTTGATTGAAGAAATCGCACGAAAGATCTGCCTTCACTGCACAAGCGTGTAACAGGTTGAGATCACAAATCAAAAGTGCCCACATGGCTTCAGCAACCGTTAAGAATGGTTTTATCTCCCTTAACACACAGATCATCTCAAGGATTGCATACTCCACCAAACTATCAAACTCCTCAAACAATTGGTACCTAGTCCCCAAATTCTTTTCTTTTGTTAATAAATCTAGCGCACCGTCAACAACATTTGACACAGCATCCTTAATACCATGATAAAGTCCACTCCTCAAAACAACAGATTCTGCAATTTCTTGACTGTACCCACACTCAACAATTTTTTTTACTGCAGTCTGGAAGGTTGCATGCAGATTGTGCGTAAGAAGCTTCTCCAGCTCGCAGGCAATGGGATCATCCCAATCAGCTTCCTGTGAAGTTTCTGCTCCAGCTGTGTTATTAGTTTGGTCCGGAAGAAGATTGAGCGATGCAAACGTATGTAAGGTACTACGCAGCTTTTCCTCTAAAAGCTCATATCTTGGGAATTCTGTCAGAGACAGAGGAGGAGAGTCTATCTGAATGTCTAGTGGGAACTCAGACAAAAACTTCCTCTTGTTCCTACTTCCATTCTCCGTGGTTGAAATAGTCAACAAGATTTCATTGCTGCCATCATCAACAGCTTCCAATTCAGTGATTGCTTCCTTTGAAATGTCTCGAGTCATTCTTTGGCTACAATCCCAACGCAATAGGCAAAAGTTTTTAAGATGGTTGAGAAATTTAAATAATACTCCCTCCGTCCCAATTTAATAGTCCACATTTGGTTTGGCACGAAGTTTAAGAAAAGTAAAATTGTATGGTTGAAAGTGATGCAAAAGAGAGAAAATATATGAGCCACAAAAACCTTTCCAAGAGTGAAAGAGGACTATTTTGTTCGGACATCCCAAAAAGGAAATGAGGACTACTAATTTGGAATAGAGAGAGTATAGAATTGGAAACACTAAAGGTATATTTGAGATTTGGATTTTGGAGGGGTTAGGATGGTGCGAAGGATTTTGGTTTTAAACTAGTTGAGCTGTTTTATGGTTAATGAAAATAAATAGATGACTGCTATATTGAGTTTATCCTACTGAGTAATTTATTATCTCCCGTCCCTTAGAAAGACTTTGTCAACATATTTTTGTCCCATATAAAGAGTCAAATTGAATGAAAGATGTTACGGAGTAATTTTAATCAAACGAATTTTTTATTAAATAAAAATAGGTCTGCCAAGCAATTAAAACAACAACAAACAACAAGAACAAAGTAAATTTAATTCAACTAACATATGAATCTGAAATTGTAACCACATTTGATGATTTTCATCAGTTGCACCTCACCAAAATTTAGAAGTTGTACATTATAGCCCTTCCATCCCCTATTCATTTAATCCATGAGAAACTCAACTCACAAACATAGCTTAAGGGTCAGTTTGGAATTTAGATGGAGGAGTTTGGAGGGGAATGCTTAGTCCGTATCTAGATAATAGAATGCTCCAAATATGGAGAAGAGATGATTGAAATGTTGCATGATCATGTTAATCTTTCAAACTGTTATAAGATCTCAAATATTCAGAGAATATCAATATATAGTCTAAGCCCTACAAAATCTTCCCTTCCAAACCCTCCATCCAAGCCGACCCTCTGAAGAATATCCAATGTCTCACTCTGAAGAATATACAGAATGTGTGTCCAAATGTGGGTGGGGGTGGTAATAACCAACATGGGTATAAATTAAAATAGCATTGAGAACGATTTACTGAAAATATAGAGCAAAAGATGGAAAAGTTAAGTGATACTCAGAAAAAACAATGTCTCTGTAAAAACATCACTCAAGAATTAAAAATCAAGAGATAATTTAGGAAAGTTTTCATTGGAAAACAATTTAATACAAGTATTGAAGTAAACCACAAGCTGTAACATTTCATTCCGCTAAAACCCTAACAAATTATCAGAACCCACAAAACCTCACAAGATACACTAAATAAAACGCCAGACGAAAAGAAACAAAATCAGCAAGCACTTGCATAAATACATTCTTTTCCCCCCAAAACCTCCCTTCTTCCTCGCCTTTCTGAAGATAAAAATAAAAATTCTCAAGATAAAAATAAAGAAAGAAACTTTTTCTGAAACGCGAAAAAATAAAATCTGCAGAGCGGCATTTCATACAAATCTTGGAAAAAAGAATACGGCCAATAGAACAGAAGTGGAGCAAGATTTCGAAACTAATCATCGATCTGAACAACTCTCATTCAAGATTAAATAAAATAAACATCTAAAAATCATGGATAACTGAAACAAGACAAAACCCTTGCTGGAGAACAGTTGATAAAGGTCGGAAGTAGAAGCGGGGAAGACTGAAATGGGGGGAAAAGAATACCTGGATTATTGGATATGGAAGAAACTGGGAAATGTGGAAATAGGATTTTGGAGCGGAAGACAGGGTCGGCCAATTTCTCCAACCAAATACTATGCTAATTCCCCTGGCCCCAGATGTAAACGGGCCATTATATATAAGGAGAATAAAATTATTTTTTTATTTATCCTTCTATTCGTCCTAATTTAAATCGTCTGTTTCAATTTATGATATTTAACTAAAATTATTTTAATTAATATGTTAGTAGAAATCACTATAAATACAACTAAGAGGGTATTTGGGAGTGATTAGCTTATGAATAAAGTGATTTCTACAAAAGCTGAAAGTAAAAGCACCTCATACCTGCTTCTCCGAAACGGTGTTCCATGTACAAAATAATGATGGTGAAAAACAAAAGCTGACATGCCAAACAAAGTAAAATCACTTTCACCCAAAGCAGAAGCTAAATTGTTAAAAGCAACGCACTGCCAAACACCCTCTAAAACATAGAAAAAGTATCAAAATAGAAGCCATATGTTTTTATTTTTGAAATAGAACTTTACACTGTGATAATGTGGTTGTAATGTGGCATTGTACATGTACAAATTACTATACTTTTTGGTAATGTACATGACCATGTTTGGTAATGTAATGGATTTTAACTTCTATTTTGAGAATAAAAACATAATAGTCCAATTTTGATACATTTTCAATGTTTTACTCTTACTTTAAACAAGACATGTTATATGAGGGACAACAAAATTCTTTTATTATTATCTATCTTTTTATTCGTTCTAATTTAAATTACTCCGTATTGAAATACACCAACCTTTGGAATAATTCACTAAAAACTCTTCTTTCATTTTTATGCTTTTATCGAAATATTTTTTAATTATAATGACTGACATATTTAAATAAAGTTATTACAATATACTTTTTTCATTTTACATTGATATAAAAAGTTTTTTAAAAGACTTGTTTCTCTTTTTTTTATGCTCGTGATTTAATTAGAAAATCAAATTATTAGAATAAAATTTGCGAAAGTCTAAACAAAAACCATTTTAATGATCGGAGGAAATATCCTTTTTTTGCTTTACCTTTTAGAGTTTTTGTAGTTAACACGAACTCCACTCGGGAAAAAATTATTTTTGCAACCTTAGCATCAATACGTTCAATTCTCAAATGTATGCTACGGAGCATTACTTTCTTAGTATATTTGTCCAATATGTTTTTTAAATTAAATTGTACTCAATTTAATTCAGATTAAGACTAGTCAATTTCTATTGCAGATTAAGACTACTCTATTGTCCCTTCCCAGCAACCGGATGCATAGTAGATGACTTGATAGCCATGAGTAGAATGTCGGTGGTTTTGTCAATGCATACAAATGACCCCTGGGACGACGATATATAAGTGGGGATGTAACATGCATTGGGAGCCAGGTAGTCAAAGTGCTGCAGCATGATACATGTAAAGAAACCCAGTCTTATAAAATTCCTTAGCAATCTCCGCATGTAGATTATTGGCATGGAAAGGAGGGCCTTGACATTCCATAATATGAGACGCATCCAAAGATTGAATCCGACCATCATCCCCGAATGCAACAACCACCTCGTCTGGCCTACATTGACGATGGAAGAAGTATTCATCGCGAATTTTGGCTGACTTGAGTGGGTCTGCAGGGCACACCGACCACCCCGTTTCAAGGAACCAATCAGTATCACCATCAATGCCATCCATGCTCACAGTAACCACCACCACACTAGATGAATGCCCCTTTCCCCTAATTTCATTCTTATACCATGCCGCCAGTTTATCACCATCCTCATACCCCCACCATATTTTATTTTTTTTTTCAAAGACTTTCCCCCCTTTGTACATATAAAGAACAACAAAAGGCATCTTCTCAAGCACTTGTGCCAAAGGAACCTCCTCATCCATATTATTGAGCCTTTTAATTACATGTTGTTCCCAACAGGAAGGTAGTAATGACTTCAATCTCAGTCCCATTTTCCTTTCGAACTCCTTCTCGATCAAATTCCTCCTGTTGAAGGGATAAGCGTCCACGCCGCCAAAGTCAGCCATGACTGGAAATCCGTATACATCCACGTACTTTCTAACAGGATCCACAATGAAAAGGCCATCCTCCTGACTGTCACTTCGCATCCGACATAGCCTATGGCTCACAGTGTTGTTGAAAGGCAAAAACCACCAGCCTAGCAGCTTAACACTCTCAAGAGCTTCAATCATAAACTTCTCCATCAACTTTGGGGGCTCCATCCCAACAAAGGGAACACCCACCACCACAATCTCAAGCTCACACTCTTTCCCCCGTTTACAACATTCCTTGTAAACCGCCTCAAGCTCATATAAACTGCTACCATCAAAGCACACATAAATCCCCACAAACTTTCTTTTAAGTTCTGAAATAGTTATACCACGACGACCATCCTCCTCATCCTCCAACCGATCACTGCCAGCATGATAATACCCAATGTTGTAGAGAACATCAGTGTCTCTAAGGCCCAAAAGCTCATTGAGGGAGTAGTGATCATGCCAACCACGTTCATGGCGTAAATAAGCACCCACTCTATCCGGAGTGAAGGGAAAAGCACCACCCTCAGCTCCTCCAAACCGACTAAACATTTTGGGCTGGCCATGGTAAAGCACCCTCTGAGATGGATCAAGAATCAAAGCTTTAGGCTGACCATCAAAACCAAGCACCGAGCAAATGTACTCACGGCGAAGATAT